GCGTTTCCCCCCCCCCCCCCGCCAATGTGTATGGCTGCGCGGCCCTGCGGAAGGCTGAGCTCTGCTATATTTATCCCCACTGCACAGGCTTGGGCGTAAAGGCTTCAGGCAGGTCCTAGTGCCTGCTGGATCCTGAGAGCTGCATTTAAAAAGTTAAAACCACACTGAGACAATGGGATTTTTACAGTCCCTAGCCCTATAGCAGCTTCTTACAAGAAGCTAAAACCCCTGTCTTCATGAAATCACACAGAATGGTTGGGTTGGAAGGGACCTTAAAGTACATTTAATTCCAACCCCTTGCCACCGGCAGGGACACCTTCCCTCAGACCATGTTTATTCCACTAGCCCATGTTACTCAAAGCCCCATCCAACCTGGCCTCTTCCTTATCGGAAGGCTGCTGCTGGGGTCAGCGCTGGCACAAGATTGGTACAATGATGCAGTATGGCTCAGATCGCCTCCAGCTCAGCTCCGGATCATGTAGTGGCCCCTCACCTACAACAAAAGCCTATTTGAGTGCCCAGAAAATGATTTACCAGCCTGGCTAGATACTGTAGCACTAATCTTGCTGGACTTCAGCTAAATTGCTGGTGCAGTGCCAGGGCACGAGGGTGCTGACGTGCTAGAGCTGTGCAGGGTGGCGGGGAATGGGGCAAGGGCCCGGTCAGGGCAGTGCCACATCAACTGGTACCAGGTAGGTGCTGCAGGGCTGGTACCAGTACCAGCAGCTTCCTGGCAGATTGAGCACGTGGCCGAGCCTCTTGAGCAGTTTTCTGTGTGGCCATGACGCAAAAAAGGAGCTTGTGACCGATACTTGCAGCTGGCACGAAGATGAACCTGGGCTATCACGGCGCCAGGGCATGCACTAACAGGGCTGGTGTGAAACGCAGTGCCAGCCAGTCAGGGATCAGCCGGGAGGGATGAGGATGAGCTGCTATTCCAACACGGAGGGCGGGGAAGCTGATATGCTGCTTACCTGTCATCACTTGTGTCAACAAAGCCTGCCAGAGAGATGCTGGCTCTGGAGCAGAGGGACATGCCCCTCCTGCTGTGTGGCACCACCGCCCGTGGCTCGGTCCTCTGCCCCACTGCTTTGTTGGCCCAGCACCAGCCTGGAGAAAAGCTCACCAGCCTGAGGAGGCACTGTGAGGCTATGGATGTTTACTGGCTACCTGCCTGCAGCTGACTTGAGGACTTGCAGTCTCAAGCACAGCTCAAGATCAAACATCCCCATCACTGCGGCGACCCAGCCGTCTGCTTTGCTCACAGGTTAAGACTCTGCCAACACCTGCACTAGTACAAGGCCATGGTAAACAATTAGCACAACACTTAGCAATGAGAACTACCACGCGTGTTTCTGATTCCTCATAGTATTATGCCATGACTTTTTGCGCCTCTCTGTGAGGAAGAGAACATTTAGCATAGCACTTCAATGACTCAAATCAGGTTCACCTTGTCTCTGCACACATAACATCCATATGACCCTAGATTCCTTCCTGTGTTCAGGGCTGAACACAGACAAACCCCTACTGCCAACACTGACATCAGCCCATTACAAACCTTGTGGCTGAAAGCACGATTTCATTCCTTGGGACTCCTGACCTGGCCTTCTTAACAGAGAAAAAGAAAGAAAACACCAAATTCAGCTTACATGTAGAAGAAATAAAACTGCCCTGTAAATACAGATGTAAGTCTCCAGCCTTTTTATTTATACAAGGATTCAAAGAACATATTTCAACTTTAGATAAACAGTGCAAGAGAGTTACAAGTACCTTGGTAACAGAAAGAAATAGATAACTGTCCAGCTATGCCAATAAGTGAAATAATTCTTACTCCTGCAGATAGAAATGCATCTGTTTAAAGCAAAGGTGGACTTTAGATATTTTGCTATACCTTAGCCCCTACCAAGCCCACCGGAAAACAACAGGCAGCTTGTCATCTGTAAATGATAAGTAGCTGTGCTCTCAAAGCCTTTTGAGACCCTCGCCCTTAGTTAAAACATACACGTTATGGCACAAAAGAGCAGGCTGAAAGAGAGAGACACGTGGAAATCCCCTATTTCTGGTTCTCCCCTTCCCAGGGACAGGGTTCTTATTAATATTCTTCCTAGACCACTACCCCCTCCTTGTCCCTGTGAAGTACGAGGCCTTTCCAAACCATGACACCACAAATCACCACCTTGATAACATCAAAGCAAACATTCCTCCCCAGCTGCCCCCATTCCCCAGAGCTCCCCAGTCATGTAACCATCCCATGGCACCCACCAGGCTGCTGCTGTGGCTGCAGCCCTCAGCCAGCACAGCCAGGGGGCTGAAGGGCTTTGTCACAACGTTTTCCAGCAGGCAGTGGCCCAGGAAACGTCACTTATAAGCACTGAAAGGCCCCAGTCTGAGCACAGGCTCGGGCTTGACTTCAGCTTGTTGAGCTGTGCTAGCAGTTGCCTATCCATCACGTAACTATGGTTTGCTTTAGTTCAGAGCAATACCGAGTCGATACCTGGGGGCACTCGCCCATTTTGGTGGCATGGCCAAGCACAGCCCCAGGGCCACCGGATTGCAGAGGGTCAGGGAAACCACTTCAGGGTAACAAAGAGAACAGAAAACCTGGATAATCAGGAACCGACACAGGGCAGTGGTGCAGGCAGAGCGTGTGGAAGGGTACAGAATGAACCCAAGCAGACCCAGGACTGATGACAGGGGAAGCATCAACACCAACACCATGCGCCTCCTGGCATATAGTGGGAAGAGCCCTGGCACTGCCTGCGCAGACCTCAGGCTGCTGATGCTGCTCCAACCCCAGCTTGGCTCCAGGGGAATGAAGCAGTTGCCCTTGGGGCCTGGAGGGCACTGAAGCTTGACCTCAGGCATCAGGGTTTCTCCTGCATAACAGTTTGTATGGCATCCTTGAGGCTTTGCCTTATGAATGAATTAATTTGGACTAACAGGTTTTATCACTGTAACAGGACTGATAATTTGGGCTATTAAGTTGTTAAAATATTAACTGGATAGTTGGTAAATTCTTGGCTTCACGTTTAAGGTGTGTTCCCCTTGGGGCCAGTAATAATCTTTCGAGGGTAAGAGGCTGACAGCAAATGCTAACTGCACACAGCTGGGAACGACAAAGACTTTACTTTCAATCTCCCATTCTGCAAAGAATACTGACCTCGGCATCCATGCGTTAAACCTCTGGATGTGAAGGTTCTGCAGGACTGGTTGTGGGCATTTCTGTAACTGAAGGCTAAATTTATATTGGCAATTCTGGTTAAAACAAAGGACAACAGAAAGACAGGAACTCTTTAGAGCAGTAAAATTAATGTGGAACGTGCCATATTTCTAGAAGTAAATGTATCTGTATAAATCCATGACTTGTATCTATCCACTCCCGGGTTCTGATGGGTCTTAGTGGTGTTGTCTGTCCTTTAGCCAACATCCAGCATCCTGGCTTTCCTTTTTGAAACTGTCCCAGATCAGATCAGGCTCAGTCTTAAACAGAGGTGAGCACAAGGCAGAAAGGACATCAAGTCAGCAGCATTGGTCACTGTGACCTGGGGAAGCCAGTCAAAGCTGGCCTAAAATCGCTGCCTGGTTTGAGGTACCATCAACCCCAGGTGGGACCATCACCACAGGGATGACATGTCCCACCTGCACTGGTTTTTGATGTCAACCTTGCTCAAGTTCTCATCTTCCCTTAAATCACACATTCTAGAAACTGCTAATGTTAAAAATGTTTCTTTTGTTGTCGTCCCGTCCCCCCCCCGCCCCCGCTTTCTTAGAAAACAGCCAAACCCCAACTCCGTAACGTTTGCTCAGCCCAAAACCACATCTCCTCTGGTAGGTCAGGGGAGAAATGCTCAGACATTTGATGTGCAGACCAGTAAAGCAGGAGATCGATAGGCCTCTGCCCTCCCTCTCACCCACGGTACAAACACATTTGAAACTCAAACCCAACCCCTTATGAATGAAGCCCAACCCCACGGCAAGCTCTTGGCCAAACCAGTCACAGTGACTGCATTGTATCTATAACACCAGCTAAACCTACACCTCCAGCCAGTGCTTGCTGTACTCATCAGGTACAGAAGCCTTCTGGAAGCCCCAAAGCACAAAGCCCTACAAGCACTGACACTCCTACAGCTACGTGGGGATATTTATATCGTTCACTGGCCACCCCCAGCCTCAAAACCCATCACGGAGCCCACCCTACCAAGCATTTCAGGGTTAGGGCAGCCACCCGCGTGTCCCAGAGGCTGCTGTGTGATGGGATGGGGTGGCAGAGGGTGAGCCTGGCCCTTCCCTGAACCAAAACGGAGCTGCCAGTGGGTGTCTGACCCGCTGTCCCGCCCCATCCCTGCAGTGGCTAGGGAAGGTGCGTCGGAGGATGGGGAAAATGGGAATTCACTTAAAAACCTACAATGCAACAGGAACAGACACCAAAAGAAAAAGAATAACCCAAACAAAGCGTGCCCCATCTTCACATACCCTGCCTCTAACAGGCGCTACCTTAACCTGCATAGGGACACTGCCCAGGGCTAATGGCTACCAGCCCCAATC